TTTGCAAACGAACACATAGACTGATGGTATGTTACGCCCTGGTTTCCAATAATTGGTACTACTTTAAGCATACCGGCAAACGTTAGTGCGAATTTAAAGGGACTTTCCGTTTTTTTTGTAGGTCGAAAATGTTTTTGCTTACGTAAGGCTTTAAAGTTCGTTATGCTTTTTGAAAGCTTTTAAAGAACTATTGTACGGATTTGCGTAAAATAAACGCCTAATTGTAGAGAAAGGGGGGGTGTCTCCGCCAATGAACAGACATCGTGTGGGACATAAGCACATTGTAGAACATTCGGCAATGTGTCATGACTCATTCAGCTTTGTATAGACACCAAAGTTTATGCGAATCTGGCTTTTAACATGATGAAAATTCTCAATAGGAACTCCCAAAAGGTGACATTTTATGGCCGATATTCCATCAGTATTTGACGTCTGGGGAACTAGTAGGACCAGATTCGTCGAGAAGAACTTAAGAGTCAGAAAGAGCAAGGGGTGTCTGTAATGAGTCTGTGTTAGCCTATATTATGAAACTGCCTTTTTGATGATCAGACTGTGAAATTGTCACCACTATAAAGTCTCCAAATAGATATATAAAGTTATTTTGAATTTGTGACTGATGGCAAAAACCCTTGTCAAACGAAGATTACCGCTATTATTATTATTATTATTATTATTAATTTTTTGGATTTGGCTTTAGGCCTATATCAAATACAAATGTTTTAAAATGAGATGAATACAAATGTCGAATGCATTATAGGTGCCTTTGGGTTCACAACTGGCTCTTTGTTCGAAAAGCGATCGGTAAGTCAACATACAAAGAATAAATAACAGATTCATGCTTAATGATGCTAAACATTTCAGAGTAATTTGAACATATCAAAAAGCCATCTACCTCTTATTTTCTCATGGACATGGTTCTGACGTATGTTTCTGTTGCCTTGACAATTGAGATATTTCAACAAATAATCGTAGACTTGCTTTAATTAATCAATTTTGCATCTTTATCGCTGATTATATGCTAATTAACAGGCTTTCTTCTTTATTTATTGAATTAATTATGAAATCTGAGTTTTAACATAAAATTTGATACGATAAATGTGAAATGTTTGAAGTCATAATTTATGTTCAGCGCGGACGTCATCGAAAACGTCATTTCAAGTATATTTCGATAATTTCCAAAGAAATGAACCTTGTAGTGAATGGGGATGAAACCCCGATATTTCGATAGCTCACGTCACCTAGGCGATAACGGACTCTGCGAGACAAGAGTGTGGCTATTTTCATAATACTATACCAACTGACTACAAATTACGGGTCTCCAATCAATACAAGCTATACGACATACTATTTACGTTAAAACCTAAACTCAGAAAGATCTAGTATTGAACCATGGTTTAAAAATAGATCTCAATGGTAACTCTGACCTCCCGAGACCTCTCTCATGACGTAATAGCGCGTGCCAATATGACGACGGTAAAATTTGTTGGCGCGAAATAAAAAAGCCACGTGTTTGGTGAAAGAAAAGTAAAGAATATTTTACTACTATTTAGAAGTCGAGGTAACAGTAAAATTTTCACATTGACGTAAATTCAGAAGCCTCTCGATTAAGTTTCAAACTTAACTGGATATTGCGAAAGTTTATTGAATTAGAAGGTAAATACGGTGAAGAGGCGAATATATAACACAGCTACCTTGAGATCCTTCGGACACACAAGATGACTTGTAAGACAGCCTCGGATGTTTCGTGGAGTGTGCCTAGTTCAGACAAATCTTGTTCAGCACCTAACAGTGTTAGCAACTTTGAAGCTAGAATTACAGGTAAGCTAATGTTTTTCATTTTATTATTTATAATAGATGTTAACATCCAGTCTGAAATAAAACAAAACAATGTGTAGGTTCATAGTAGACTAGTTCTAGATCGTTCTTGTGAAGATCTCTTTGTGTGTTTTTATATAATCATAGGTTTTATTGTGTTTATTAAGGCTTGAATTAATTTGTAAACACGGAAACGTCTGTATTGTTTCGAATGCTGATGTGGCCAAGTAAAGTTGTGCGTACAATCACTTCCGGTATCATCTTTTATGCCGACATTACAAAGTTTTCAACAGTTATGCTTAACAATACAAGATGCGCTTGTATTTAGAAGACCCATTATAATGTGGACGTATATTGTCGTCATCCATGTCCGTCCGTCGGTCCGTTGGTCCACAATTGGCTTGTGAACGCGATAGAGACTACAGTTTTCATCTGATTTGAATGAAATTTGGTGTGATCATTTATATCTTGATATCTTTGAGATCTTGGACATGTTTGATGAACAGTTTTTGAGTTATTGCCCTTGATTTATGAAAAACGCGTCAAAATTTGTTTGTGAACACAATAGAGAGTACAGTTTTCATCCGATTGAAATGAAAGTTGGTATGATCATTTACAATGATGAGATCTTAGTCAAGATTGAATTTGACAATTTTTCGATCAACAGAATTTGAGTTATTGCCCATGACTTAGTAAAAACTCATCGAAAATGGTGACAGATTATGTCAGAATTTTATTAAATAATGTGTCTTTGTTTAAATCAACAATATCTTGCACAAATTAGATTTTTGGTAGATTTGACACCGATCAAGGGTGACTGCCCTTGATATACTGAAAATGTATGAGGAAAGTGGGCGTATCTTGCTAGGCAACCACTTGTTTTATCATTCAGTGGTTTGCTTCTTATTGTTATAAATACAATTAGACGGTTGAAAAATTTGATAGCCGAAATCAGATCAAGTTGAAGGCATCGAAGTCGGACATTGTGTCACATAATCTCTTAGCAGATGTCAGTCGGACTCCTTTACATCTGGCACAGATCCCATCGCAAATAAGCGATATTAGTTGGTATATTTTGGTTTATAAAATGTGTCCACCCTAGAGGGTGTCACAATATTTCGCTTTTTCACTTTTTGGTATCTTTTTGTGTATGTCATATGCTCCACAAGTGTCAACTTAAAATTCATTTTTCTAAGTTTTGCTTTTATCTTCATAGTCAAAATGAATCAGGTGGCGTTTATTTCCTTAGCCCTACTGTCCATCAGTTCTTCTGTCCATAATATTGTCCGTCAACATTTAGGTCCAACTCTCTAATATTTGACAAAATTTGAAAAATAACCAATGAATCGAAATATAAAAAATATTTGCTCTAATTATTTTCATTTTATTTACGCTATAGAAGGTATACAATTCTCGTTTGATATTGCTGCATAATTCTATTTAACTTTTATGAAACGCGTTCGAGTTTTAACTCGTAAACAAGCTAGTGGGACATCGACAAAATATTCAACATACGATCTTGTCCTTTTGGTGTTTAACGTTTCTCTCAAAAATGAACGAGTTATTTCCCTTCCTTTGGCGTTGGATTTTAGCTCAAATTTTTATTATCACCCAAGAACGAAGTCCAATGCAAGATATTTAAATCATTATTCTTGTGCATTGAGACATTGAGGTAAGCGAACTTCATATAATGATAATAATAATAATAGTAAATTTATTACACACCCAGTTGCTATCATTTTCTTATAAAAAAAAAACTGCTCCTGAAATACATGTAAAGCATAAATTTGTAAATAATTCATTTTGAAGAGCAATGTTTTTGATTTTTACTTTTTGTTTTAGATCCTTTCTAAACTTTGCATTTATGCAAACGCTTATTATGCGTGATCTTAGATGCAGAAGGGGATTTTCTATATGAATGATGGAAGGAATAAAATTATCATAAATTTCCCAGAGCGCGATGTTAGTAAATGATAAAAAGACATTCATTATTTAGATATTAGCTGTGAGTCAAAACGTCTGGTCACAGTAGGTATTATTTTGAAATAGCAATATTTGTAAGGCTTTGTCTGAGATATTAAATCTTGTCAGTTTAATTTAGTACCAAGATACGAACAATATTGTATACTGCATTCGTTCCTACAAGGTATACTGACAAAAGTGTTCTTACACGCTTACATCTGTATTTAAGCGTTTATATTATAGTCACCACTTTCCATCCAGCAACACCAAGGCTACATGCAATCAAGACCAGAGGTTTAGTAATAAGACTTAGTCATTTTAACAATGTCAAGCTATTAAACGAGCTTCTACCTGCCTGTAATAGCCACCTATAACGGAAACATTTGCAAACATTTTGGCTTATTGTTTACAGACTTTCTGTCGGGGACTCTGAAATGCTGTATTCGCTAAAGTA